CCAACTTTAGCTCACTATGCTGGTTTCTACCCCAATGTTAGATTCTGAAACAGTCTTGCGAGAGTGAAAAATCCAGGATGTAATATGGTCTGCTACTGCCCTTATCCAGGCTCAATGAAAGACATCTTATATGTGTGTGTCAAAAGGTTGAGGATTGGTTGGTAATCTTTACACAGGAGCCTACGTCTGCAAATGGGCTTATGTGGCTCTCTTTAATTACAAAGTAGACTAGGTATTAGCAGTTAATTACCCTACTCAAGAAATTCCACTACAGAGTCTTGTCCTTAACAGGATTACTGTTCCATGTAGGCCACTTTTCCCTCTGTGAATCCCAGCCCAAGTCTTGGTGGTGATTCCTCCTCCAGCCCCTTCATCCTTTCAATTTCCACACCTGGTGTCTACCAAAAACCCACTCTGAGCTTCTGCAGAGTGCCACTTTATTCCACGGAGGCGGCAAGCATGTGGATGGGAATGGGTGTTGCTCTAAATTAACCTCCTACACATGTTCCCTCATGTGCACAGGGCATTTGCATTTTAAGCAAATCTTTTCTATATTTTACTGGTCACAGTATAATTTTACCTGCAATACAAATAAAACAGTGATTACATTTTCTTTCTAGTAATTGGCTGTAGGAATCACATACTCTTATTAAACTCTTCCTGTCAGTTTATACTGCATCGTAATTTTAGTTTATCACAGTGCCTACGTGCAATGCTACCTGATACTCCCTCCTGGAAGAGAATTTTGTTCTGTTGTGCTTACTTTGCTCTTTTCTGTACAAACTCCCTTTTATATACTTTTATGATTTATTGGCATTATGAACCCTCTAGCCTCCTTTCCTGACCGGGCTCAAACACTTGGGAGTGATATGCGTTCTCTCCCTTTCTAGTTGACTCTTTCCTGGCTCCTTTACTCTTCCTTCTCCCCATCTCCTGCTTTCTTGTCACTGGCTTCTCCAATATGCTTTTTCCTCTTGTTCTCTCTTTGCCCAGCCTTATAGCACCCTCTAAGAAATGTGTTTTGCAGAAGGAAGGTCCCTGTACACTGTTACTACTTTCTTCTTTGGCTGTGTTCTTAGTTTTTGTGTCATTTCTGGGAACTCTGCTACAGTAACATTCCATGGAGGAAAGTTGAACACCAGTGAAAGGAGAGAGAAAGCTGGGGAAAGAAAGAGTGGAGGGAAGATGGAGAGGGGCTCAGGGAGGATCCCAAGCAAGTTAACATGAGGCATCTTGCAGTAAACTCTACAAATAAACACACTTTTCACAATGTTTTACTGTCTACAAAGCAGTTTTCATAAGTTACCTGATTATCTGGTAACAAATATAGGCATGCTTCTTAACATTTTGCAGATGAAGAGACTGGAGCTATAAATTAAGAATAATATAAACTGTGATGATGCAGCTTATAAAAGCAGAGTTAGGATTTGAGGCTTCTGACTTCAGGTCTCTTTCTTTTCCCACCATCCCACAATGCCAGGAAAATGGAGTTGAACTCAGGGAGAATTCAAGTCACCTTTCACAAGGCTATGTTTTCCATAGGTTCAAAAAAACCAAAAAATCCAGACTTATGCCCTAGTTTATCATGATTAATTTTTCTTGTGGTAAGTTTTGTTTGTTGTAGCAACAATAAATGAATTACTTTCCAAACTGGGAATATCCCTTTGTAGCCAATGAAGGAATGAGTACAAGTGTGGAGGAGTAAATCTGCATAAAGATAAATATAACTTTAGAAAATTCTTGAGACATTGACAGAGCCTTGGACCTAATTTCTAAATGGGTAGAAAGCTCTCTTTTAGAACAGCTTCTCTGCAATCCTGTGTAGAAGTGGGAAGATGAACATGGAGACTATTCAAGGCAGGGGTGGTGGACTTAGTGGGTCATTTTCACTTTTTTCAGTTTCAAAATCTTACAGATTCTATTATTTTTGGCTCTTTCTGTGTCTTTGAGAACTGCTCTTTCTACCTTAAATCACCTCCAAAATCACCAGGGCAAACATTCCACACAAGAAGCTTATTTGAACTTCAGGTCTCTAGAAAACAGACTGCTGTGTCATTGCATTTGGAAAGCAATCATTTAAAGATAGTTTTCAGGCAGGTGAAAGACCAGCACAACAAACTGATAAAACTGCCTCTGTCATTTGATCTCCTGCAGCCATTCTGGAGAGAAGACATTCTTGTTAGAAACTTGAGCAAGAAGCTCTGGTCAGGAGACTTCTCTTTTATTAGGATCCTGCCTCACGTTAGAGGTCAAGTTACAACTCCCCTCAAAATTGCTCTGTAATAGGCTGCATTACATAGAAAATTCCAACAAAGCACTGGAATGTCTGAGTTAAGAGAACTCTTTGTAAATTAAGAAGAAAAATAAAGTTCAGCAGCATAATCCTATCTCTAAGCCAAATCTGGATAATATTAAAGGACTTCCAAATAACACCATTTAACTCTTTATTTGTGAGAATTATAAGAGTTTGCACTCTGAGCGATGTCCCATCCCCTGCTCCCCAAACCCCAATAGAAGCAAAGCAGCTAGCAACACTCTACCTCATAAACTTAGTATTTAAACTGTGCAAAGGTGAAGAAAAAAGGTGAGAATAAAAAAGGTGAAGTGGGAAGATGGCAAGGAAATGTCCCATTCTTAAACACCTTTTAAAAAAAGAACCGTAGTCCCAGCACTTTGGGAGTCCGAGGCAGGAGGATCACGAGGTCAAGAGATCGAGACCATCCTGGCCAACATGGTGAAACCCTGTCTCTACTAAAAACACAAAAATTAGCTGGGGCTAGTGGCGTGCACCTGTAGTCCCAGCTACTCGGGAGGCTGAGGCAGAAGAATCACTTGAACCCGGGAGGCGGAGGTTGCAGTGAGCTGAGATCACACCACTGCACTCCAGCTTGGTAACAGAGCAAGACTCCATCTAAAAAAAAGAACTGTAATGCCAAGATTTGCTCAAATAATTTCCTCAATTTCATGGGGACCCAGAGTCCATTGACCCTGACACCTTCCACTGCCTCTCATGGCCACTGTGTCCTCAATGCCCCTTCTTAGCCAGCTTCCATTTGCAGTCTTTGCATGCACCAACTTATTTGCCTCTCTTTCCTTTCAAAGTACAGTATGTACCTGGCAGTATCTTAGATATGGTTAAAACCAACTCTCTGCCTAGTTCATGCTTAAAAGTGTTGGGGGAAAACATGCAACCATGCTGACTAGACTCACTTTAAGTTCACAATCATTCACGATTATGGGCATCCTGTTGCCCTCCATGCTGCCTGGCTGTTCTTTTTTTTTTTTTTTTTTTTTTTTGAGGCAGAGTCTCGCTCTGTTGCCCAGGCTGGAGTGCCCTGGCATGATCTCTCTTGGCACACTGCTACCTCCTCTTCCCGGGTTCAAGTGATTCTCCTGTCTCAGCCTCCTGAGTAGCTGGGATTACTGGCACTTGCCACCATGCCTGGCTAATTTTTCTATTTTTAGTAAAGATGGAGTTTTGCCATGTTGGTCAGGCTGGTCTCCAACTTCTGACCTCAGGTGATTCACCCGCCTCGACCTCCCAAAGTGCTGGGATTACAGGTGTGAGCTACTATGCCTGGCCACACTGCCTGGCTGTTCTGTCACATTGCTTACGCCCCTAGATGGCTCGTCAAACCTGTTCCCCCCTTTTATGATCAGTGGATCACCTTGCTTAACTGTTTTCTTAAACATTTCTATGTACTCATATTACCCCAATTCCTACAGGACTTGTATCAGTTTAGACCTTGGAAGATGGCACCCAGCACTGGCTACATGCTCCTACTCTAGTTGTCATTTACTTCAAGGGCAGCATATTTACTGAAGGTTAAAACAACAAGATAGTACTGTCCTAGGCATGTTCCCTGGCAGCAGTGTCCCTCTGCCTCATGTTGCTGTGCCTCTATTGCTTGAAACGTCAATAAGTGAATGCAAGCTTGTTTAACCCAGGGACCTGAGCATGTGTCTGCCGCCCACACTTCTGCTGAACTACAGTTCACAAGTCTCACTGGGACAGTCTGGGAAGATGCTAGCTGTACAGACTGCTTTTGCTTCTCACTGCTGTTACCCCATCGAACTGTCACCCAGAGACCTGCCCAGAGTTTGCAGGTGCATGTCCAGGAGTAAGGTGGGACCACACAGGTCAGCACTTCGGTAGGACTGTCCCTCACTGAGTCCTGCCCTGCTTTCTGCCACCTCCCCTGATGTCTGCCAGAGGAAGAGGCCATGCAAGAACTTAGGAAAAAAAAGCAGTGGGCACATTCATAATGGCTACCATTTACCAAGTATCTGTTGTGTGCCAGGTGCCTTACACACATTCACTCACCTAATTCTAACAACTGCATTCCAAGGTGTCATTATTCTCATTTTATAAATGAGAAAACTGAGGCTTAGATTACATAATATGCAGAAGCCTCACTGCTAATAAAGGGTAGAGCCTGCATCTGGACCCAAGTCTACCTGAGTTCAAAGCCTATGTTCTTTTCACGACACTACTGCCTATTCATTTATGTCAAAATGAGAGCTTAGAGTTCACTGCAGACCTTCAGTAGGGGTCTCCAGCTTTCTTAGAATGCTGTGTGCTACCCAAATATTTTATTTTCTTTGTTAAGTGCAACAATTTGTGTTAATACATGCAATTATATAAAATCAGAGCATGAACATGACCTGATAAACTTTGTATTTATTTTCATTTTGACTTGGACATCTAATAGGCATCTGAAACTTAACACATACAAAACCAAATTCCTGAAGACCATCTCTCTGCTAACTGTAGCTCATGTAGTCTTCCCCAGCTTAATAAATGGCAACTCCATTATTCTAATTGCCCTGGCAAAAAAACCTTGGTGCCATCTTTAATTCTCTTTCTGTCATAGAACATCAGAAAATCTTGAGGTCTCTACCTTTAAAATATATTAGAATATATTTTCTATTGCTGTTACTACCCTGCTCCAAGCTTCATTTTCTATTGGCCTGGATGATGGCAGTAACTTGTTTCCTACCTTTTTGTCTCCTGACAGCCTTCACTCAACATTATGTTCCAGAGTAAGCCGTTAAGATGGAAGTCAGCCTTCCCCACTCCCACGGCTTCACACGACTAGCCTAAAAAAGAAAGACAGAAGTCAGGTCGTATCGTCCTTCTGCTCAATATCATGGATTGGCTTCTCATATCACTCCAAATAAGATTTAAAGTCCTTAAAAAGCTTATAAGGCTATATATCATCTAACCCCTCCTTCGCTACCTGAATTACTTCTACTTCTCTCCACCAATCTCACTCTGTTCACACTGGTTTCCTTGTTTTCATAAACATATTATGACTACTTCTGCCTCAGGACATTGTGTTTGCTGTTCACCCTGCTAGGAGATCTCTTCTAGATACCCACATGGCTTCTCCCTCGCTTCCCTTCTATCTCCACTCAACTATCGCTTTATCAGTGAGGCCATCCCTTTAATAACTGTGGTAGCTAGTGTCCAAAAATGGCCCCCAAATGAGCCACATCTTCCAATATTCTCAGCCTCACAGAGTCCTCTCCCCTTGAATCCAGTGGTCCCTGTGACTTGTTTTGACCAACAGAATGTGGTGGCAGTGATGCTTGCCTGACTTCCAAGTCTACATCTAAGAAGCCTTGCAGTTTTTGCCTGGATTTTTTGGAATACTTGCTTCAGGAGAAGCCACCAGCATGGGAGAAGCCTGACTACTCAATTCCCCCATGCTGTGAGAAAGCCCAAGACAGCCACATAGAAAGGTCATGTGCAGACAGAGTAATGCCTGGCCAGACCCTGGTTGTTCCAACCTTCCTATCTGAGGGGCCAGCCATGTGAATGAAAAAGCCGTTTGGTATGTCCAGCCCATTTAATTACTCAGATAACTCTGACCCCATTTGCCATATGACCGCAACTGCTTAAAGACCTCAGGGAACCTACAAGATCCGACATTTTTTTTCTTAAATTTTTTTTTTTTTTTTTTTTTTTTTTAATTTTAGAGACAGGGTCTCACTCTGTCACCCAGGCTGGAGTGCAGTGGCACAGTCATAGTTCACTGTAAACTCAAACTCTGAGTTCAAGCAATCTTCCTGCCTCAGCCTCCTGACTAGCTGAGACTATTAGTGCATGCCACTACACCCAGCTAATATTTTTTGACCAATAGGATTCAGGGTGTTTTGTTGTGTGGCAATGGATACCTGAAACAGAAATCAATATATTACACTCCTTCCCGCATATATAATGACACTCCATATCCTCCTTAACTTGTTGTATTTTTCTTTTGTTGTATTTACCACCTGGCTTACTGTGTATCTACCTATTTGTTATTGTCTCCCTGTCCCCTCTGGAACACAAACTCTGGGAAGGCAGAGACTTTGTCTTATTCATTACTGTATCTGGAGTGCCTGGAATACTGTCTAAGACAGGCCTTCAATACATTTTGTTAAATGAATGCATATCTTTAATTTAATTTAATTTAATTTAATTTAATTTAATTAGATAAGTTTACTTTTTGTAAACATAACAAGTCCACAAAAAGACTGAAATTAATTTAAATTGCCCATGCCGACAGGCTTCCCTCTTATGGACACAATAGCTGGAGCTGTCTAAAATACTGCAATCTTTGCCTTTCCACTGAAGCATACCTTCCAAGGGGGAAGGAGTAAGATTCTGCTCCTTTAATACATACTGAGCCCAGGAGAAAGGGACTAGACATGTATGGACTGAATGTCTGTGTGCCTTACAAATTCATATGTTGAAATCCTAACCCCCAATATGATGGTATTAAGAAGTGAGACCTTCGGAAGTGTTTAGGTCATGAAGGTGAAGCCTTCAGGAATGGGATTAGTGCCCTTATAAAAGAGACTTCAGTGAATTCACTAGCCCTCTTTCTGCCATGTATGGAAGATGGCCATCTATGAACCGGGAAGCAGGCCCTCAACAGACATCATATCTTCCAGCACTTTCATCTTAGACTTCCTAGCCTCTAGATCTGCAAGAAATAAATGTTTGTTGTTTAAGCCACCTAGTCTATGCTATTCTGGTATAGTAGACTGAACTAAGACAAGAAAAAAAAAAATGGTGTCAGGCAGATTCCAGGAGAACATCCCTTAAACATAACCCAAATGGAGATGGCTATCAGAATCATCAAACCCTGTTGAGGAGTTCTTGTCAGTAGATCTGTGCTACACAGTGCCACCTCTCCCTTAACTCACTTCTGGAAGGACTCAATAATTCCTCCTTATTCCACAAGCACTTCTTGAACGCCTACTCACTCTCTTATGATAAAATATCCATTCCCCCCTTTCACAAAATTAGTCAGAATAAAGAAAAACCATTGGGTTGAAAAACTTTGAATAGAATGTTTAAAGTGATTTAGAAGTTTGGACACAGTAATTTTGCTTGCGTTAAAATAGTTCAAGATCTCATCTCAACCACTTTGTGGGAAAATTGCTAGCATAGAGATGTTTCAGCTGTTAGCTTGGTTGACGTTTTTGTTTTGGCACTTCTGGAAAACAGAGGAAGGGGCTGAAGCTCATATATTCTTGGAGAAATAAGGCAAACAGCACAGCTCAGGGATGGGCTGGTGATGTGGCATTCTGTGTCAAGTAAGGAACACCCTGCCATCTCCTGGGCCTCAACTTCAGATTTCTGGACAGCACCTTCTCAGGCAAGAATACATATTTTCCCAGGAACAAGCAAGAAGGCTGCCCAATCCATTTAGATTCATATGGAAAGAAAAGAGACACTGCCTCAACCTCAAAAGCAACAAAGCAGGCAGAGACGAAGTACAAGCTCAGAAACTCACAATAGTTGCTTTACTAACCAGAATACCTAGTTAGCTTCTCTGCTGGAAATATCTGCAGTTAGGTTTTCTCATAGTGCTCTTAATGATACAGATTAGCTACAAGTTTTACTTTTTGTAAAGGGCCCAGTTGGGTAATTTTTCCAGAACGAAGGGTGAATACAACGAATAGTCAAGTTTTTACCTTTCTCTAGACTGAAAAATTCTAGCTTTAAAATAATAGCTTTTCTATATTATTTCAGTACCCTGCCCTCCCCCCTCCTTTAAAAAAATAAATCTTATAGGTTAAGTTTGGGCATCTGGTTGAAAAAACCCCATTTAAAAGATTAGAAAATTGAGAGTTAGAGAGTCTTAAGATCAGCCAGTACATGAGCCAAATCTTCAGATACAAAATCCATGTGTTCTCCACGGTGGAACACTGTATAATTAAACTACCATACACTTACAAAGCCTTTTTTTTTTTTTTTTTTTCTTAGCCAGAGTCCTGCTCTTTCGCCCAGGTTAGATTAGTGGCACGATCTCGGCTCACTGCAACCTCTGCCTCCTGAGTTCAAGAGATTTTCCTGCCTCAGCCTCCCGAGTAGCTGGGATTACAGGTGCATACCACCACTTTCCCAGCTAATTTTTGTATTTTTAGTAGAGACAGGGTTTCACCATGTTGCCCAGGCTGGTCTCGGACTCCTGACCTCAGGTGATCCACCCGACTGAGCCTCCCAAAGTGCTGGGATTACAGGTGTGAGCCACTGTGCCTTGCCTCACAAAGCTTTGAAAAGCATTCCTTAATAAGGCCTCAAGGATGAACATGTCCTTGTGTATTTTTTTTCTGTGAAAATGAAACTAGTCTAAAATCTCCATGCAACTGTAGCTGGAGAAATAAATATTGATCCAGTTTCCTCCTATAATTCTGTTTTATTTCATAGGAGCTTAGAGTTAGAGGCAAACTTTAGACATTATTTAGTCCTAATCCATCACAAATTATAAGAAAAAACTCAAAATAGCTTTATTTAAAAGGAAGTATCTTCAGATATAATGCTATTTTCACACACGATTGATACATTTATTAGGATGAAAATCATATTAGAATAAAATATCTTTGAGGCTACAATTGGTCCTTTTTATGTGAATAGTAAAATTAAAGGTTTAAAATATATGCTAAGATGAAGATGAAAAATATTATTTTAGGAAGACTGGAAAATACAATGAAGGTTTGGCTTTCATACAAGGTTTGGATTTGTTTTTTAGATTCTTCCCAGTAATTAGATTTAGGGTTTAGAGTATCTCATGTGACTCTCCTATAAAAACAGACATTTTAACCAAGCACTGACATGCAAAATAAAAACAAAAAACTTTTTCCTTCAGGGACTAGCCCAGCTATAGTTGGAAGTTCAGTAATGCAAAAATACACATACATAGTAATTAAATCTAGCTTCTAACAAACTTAAAGTTAAATTTTAATGACTTTTTATGGCTGGGTAATAAATTGTATGTAAATGAGTCATGGATGGAGACCTTAGTATATATAAAATGTCAAAAACCAGTACTGATTGATATATTGAAAAGAAAAGAGGCCTTGAAAATCTGTGTTCTAGATCTAACTCAGCCACAATAGCTCCTTAACCAAATCATTCAGCTGTTTTGGGCTTCGGTTTCCTCATTTGTAAAATATGATAGTTACATTTGGTAATTATAATTAATGTTTTTGTGGTGTTTATGTCTCTAAAGCTCTTTCCTGTGTATGATCTGACTTCACATATAATTCTTTGAAGTAAGAAGAACAGATAATGTCACTTTTAGTATACAGATGAAGAAACAGCCTCATAAAGGCTAAAATATATGATCAAAGGCTGTACACAGTTTGTAAATGGATTCAGACTCAGATGTTCAGACACAATTTTATGTAGGTAGACAGTATACCTACCACCTCTAAAAGTCTGATATAATAGAGTTGTGTTTAGTCATTACTCAATTATAACTAGACTTTTAAAGTACCTTAAACACTATTCAGCAGGTACACCATGTTCTTTAGCCTGCAGGACTGAATGCTCTTATGGTTTCCCTGCAGGAGGATCCAATTAAGTGCTAAGTTAATAGCCAACTTTATAGCCAAGCTAATAGAAAAGCCACATTACACTGGCTCCGTCCTGTCAAACCACTTTTAAGACTTTGTGCTGATTTATGTCTCTGATATTCACTGTAATCTCTGGGTTACTGTAAAAATGCACTCTTCCATTGCTCTGTTACTAAGATGTGTTAAGAGTCACAACAGTAGTCAGAACACAATAAGTAAATAACGTAAAGAGTATTCAAGTAGTT